ATACCAAATTATAGTTATCTACATATATGTACTGTCCGTACCCAATTATAGTTATCTACATATATGTACAGTCCCGTACCCAATTAAAGTTATCTACATATATGTACAGTCCCGTACCCAATTAAAGTTCACAGTTGTCTTTTCCTTGCAAATTTCATGCATTTTTACATATTTCAGTGAGTTTTCCTGATCTCATTCGTAATGATACCGAGGGAAATATTTGAATCATGAAAGAGAGTTATTTGAATATTTCTCTCGCAATACGTTTACTCTGATCGTTGAGCGATTTTCAAGATGTGCCAATTATTTAAAGGAAATTAGATTTGTTGTATAATGTCATTTTGTTCTTTATCTAACTTAAACTTTATGGTAAAATATTTCGTTCTGAGATACACTTGTCGTGTCTTGAAAATTGCAAAACTGCAAGTTATGAAAATATAATGAGAAAAAAACCCAGACATTTATTGGATCTTAAAAGCCATGCAATCGTATGTAAAACAACGAATGTTCATATAATTATATAAAATATATATTATCTAAATCTGTTGGATATATCTACATACACATTTAAAGTTTCCAAATACACTGCAGAACACCTGTGGATTTAAAATACAACTTTTTTGGTGTAAGACATTATGTAGTAAATGTCATGTGGTAAAATACACAGGGGCCTGCAAATTTGTAACATCAATATCTACTATTTACTCTGAACACCTTAGTTTAGGTCCAAATATAGCAGTAACAAATTATCAGGTCCCTGTGGTATACTACTCCAATCCAGTCATTCCTTTGCCCCACTGTTATTGATATTGAAATCACAATTCACAAGGGAAATGATTTTTACATATGTATGTTTTTGTTTGTTCAACTGGTACTGTATATACTTTGGTATAAAATAGCATATGTTAGAACTACTTGGTTTAAAACCTTAAATGTGACTAATAATTAAGATTCAGTTTACCATACATCAACGATAAGTCGCTGTCTGGTGCATTTAATCCAGTCCCGCCATGTATTTAGTATTTCTGATCATGGTCAGTAGTCACTTCTAACGATCAGACGACGTTCTTGAGAAATTACATTACAAGGTATTTGCATCGTTTTTGTTATTTTTCAGAATGAAATCTATACTGTTATGTGTATATTATGGAAACAAATTATTGTTGATATCAAGAATTGCATGTTATCACATTCAAATATGTGTTATTTTACCGAAAGATTGACTAGCTTAGATTGTAACATCATCTCGGAGAATGACGCAAAGTAGTCAGCCCGTCTTGGGACACCAACAAGCCGCGATATATTTGCTTACAAAAAGTAAAACAACATGTAAATATATCATTTAAAAAGATCACATAGTCAGCTTTAATTTTTAGTCCTTTGATTGGAAGCTATAACCAACAGATTATTTATATTTCAAATCACACTCGGGGCCAGGGCTATCACTAGACACTAGCTACTATAGTCGAACCCCAGACATCTCATTTCACGGCTTATTTAAACGACTGTATTTTCTACAAATGGCTAATAAATTGGCAATAATATGATTTACCTGCACATTTGTTCAGTGAAGCTTGTGTGTGTCTCCAATATTTTGGATGGTTGTGAAATTCTTTTTATTGTAACATGTTTCTTTTCATCATAAGTGTTCGCCAAGTCTGCCGTTTTATTGCAAACAGTTTCGTTTCAGAGCCTGAGTTTTAACTTAAGTCTGCTCTTGGGCAGTCTCAGCTTTTTGACTTCAGCTTGAGGCGCTGAGCTGAGTTTTTAGTTTGTGATAATGAATTACAAACGCTGAGCTTGAGTTCTAGAGTTCGGACTCAAATCTCAGCTTGAGGCGACTCAAGTACGTTTGTGATACCGAAGCCTGTTCATCAAGTTAATTTTTATAAACTTTCTTTTTGGATCCTGACTGATGTTAGTATTAATTGCCATTGTATACATTGCGTCTCTGTGTATTTATTCCAGGAGATTGTTACCGCCCTTGAGAGTGATTGTAATATCATTCCCGTGCTGGACAACTTTGAGTGGCCTGTTCCGGAGGAACTTCCCATTGACATGCAACAGGTCGTGTATTTCAATGGAGTCAGGTAAGGTGATGCACCTCTATACGGTTTTTCCTCAGCGTGTCGGGCACTTTGAGATAAAATTATGCTGGTTAAGGATAAAGTTTCCAAACCGTTGTTGTAGAGATTATATTGAGTGACAATAGTGATTGTTACGGTAGTGAGAAGATTGAATTGTGACAACTCTATAGCACGGTGTCCTTGGTGGTGATGATCTCACAGGTAGGGCTCCTCATGTCAATAGCGGGTTTTTTTAAACAGATTTTCTGAATAAATACTTGTGTAATGTTGTGTAATCCCACAACTGTAGCCATGGCTTTATCACTGTGTTTGTGTATCACAGGAACCCCACACACTATATATCACAGGAACCCCACACACGATATCACAGGAACCCCACACACGATATCACAGGAACCCCACACACGATATCACAGGAACCCAATACACGATATCACAGGAACCCCACACACGATATCACAGGAACCCCACACACGATATCACAGGAACCCCACACACGATATCACAGGAACCCCACACACGATATCACAGGAACCCCACACA